ACCCCCACCCCACAAACCCCCAAACAGAACATAACTCACCTGAGTTGAAGGTAGTAATATCATGTATGGCCTACTTTCTCTGTAGTAACATATCTTTCTGCTTAAATTGCCCAATGATCTCTACTCCTATATGCACAATGGTGACCCTGGTGCTCCAAGCAGCTGCCTTAACCCTTCATCTAGATTTCTTGACAATTATATTTTATAGGTGCACATGCAGTAAAATATTAGAAATTGCATAAGAGCTCGCAAATAGGAGCACATGAGTAACAAACAAGCCACAAAGACATGCTAAGTATGACACAAAACCCCCCAAATATTCAAAGGTGGTATAGCTTTAAAATTATGACCAGTTTAACATATTGTTTCTTCTGTTTGATATTTTTGGGGTTTTACAGTGAAAAAAATCAGTTGGTTCCACTCACTAGTGGATGTTTTAATATCAAAATGCAACTGTACTTCATGCAAAATAGTCATTTGTCACAAAAGGTCTTCTTGGACAGAAATTATTTTATGGGGTAATTCTGTTCAGGACTCATTATACAAGGATGCCTATATAATGGTTTGATGAGTTCTTCCCCCCCCCCCCACGCCCCACACACATTAGCGTTGCTTGAAGAACTATTTTGACCAGTTAATCAGGTTGAGAAATATTGATTTTATACCAAGGGTCCTCAACCCCTGGTCCATGGACTGGTACTGGGCTGCAGCATGCCAGCACCGGCACGCACAAACAAGCAAAGCCCCATCCCTGGGATGCAGGCAGCACACAAAACCATGCACTCTTCGGTCCGTGGAAAAACCTTTCTCCACGGAACCGGTCCCTGGTGCCCAAAAGGTTGGGGACCTCTGTTTTAGACTACTGGACTGCCTATGTTAGTAAATTTGCTTAATCTCCCTTTTCTATTGTCAAGTAAACATTAATAATGTAATGATATATAACATGATTTTTTTTATGTGAGAGAAAATAGTGGTTTAGTATGTTAACAGATTTTTGTTGAGGTTTTTCTGGTTTTTGGGCAAATCATGGTGATGAGCCAAGTAAATTCCAGTAATCTTTGTATGGGTAGTCCTCGACTTACAACAGTTCATTTAGTGACCATTCAGTTACAACGGCAGTAAGAAAAGTGACTTATGACTGTTTTTCACACTTATGACCATTGCAGCTTCCCTGTGGTCACATGACCCAAATTCAGATACTTGACAACCGATTCATATTTATGATGGTTGCAGTGTCCCGGGATGATGTGATCACCTTTTGCGACCTTCTGACAAGCAGTCAATGGGTAAGCCAGATTCACTTAACAACAGGGTTGCTAACTTAACAACTGCAGTGATTCATTTAACAATGGCAAGAAAATTCCGGGTTCAATTGTGGTCATAAGTCAAGGATTCCTGTACTAGCCAACTCTACGTTGGCATCTTTCATTCTTCTGTGGTCCAACACGTTCTGTAGGATATAATGGAAGGGTTTTATATGAAAAAAATGTCTAACCAATTATCAGAGCAGGGCTGGTAGTTTCTCAAATAGAATTGTTTCCACAAAATCTTGAAATGAGTGAAGCGCAATGCCACAATTTATTAATACGTAGCATAGGACTTTGATCTCTAGACTTCAGGGTGCTTGTTTCTGCAGCAGGTTATGGCATTATTTTGAAACATAGCCAGATCTCATTCTGAAAGGGGGGACTTAATTATATACTGACTTGCAACCAAAGATTTTTATTAATGTGTTGAAATATACACTTCTTAGATAAGCAAAGGCAATTGATTTGTAACCAGGCTAACCTTGCTTTAAAAAAATGCTAGAGGGGAACTTTTGTTAGCATATTTAATTAGGGGAGGAGATGCTGAGGATCTGTATGTCATTCTACAAATTGAGAGTGACAAACATGTCACACTTCCAAGATTGTTAAGACTGTAGTTATCATCAGCCACAGACAGCCTGGCTAGTAATTTGGATCTGGAATCCAACACTAAGGATTTTCACAGTCTCCTGCTTTAAAGTCACCTCCTTAAGACTCCTTCAACTTTTGCTTCACTGGATTTGAACAGAACTTATGTTAATAAATATAGGTATCTGGAACCGGTAGGAATATAATGCCTTTCTTTTTTTGGGTAGATTTACTTTAACAATTGACTACCAGGATATGTTTTATTGCACAGTTTGATGTATCTTTCTGACTTCTTCAAAATGGCAAATAATAAAGAATAATGAAGGTGGCACTTTAAACACTAATGGAGATGTATTAAGTTTTCACCAGAAAAAGCTTAAACCGCAATAAAATTGTTAACTTTTAAGCACAATACATTCTCTCTCTCCCTCCCTCCCTCCCTATGTGTAGTATTTGTGTTTGATGAAACTTAAGTCTCAGATTATCCCTGGGGGATATTTTCCAAAACTACAATCATAGGTTTCCAGTGCCACCTTCTGGAAAAATAAGCAATTACAAAGAGAAGAATGCTGTATGTGATACAGCTATCATCATCACAATTTTTACAGACAACAGCTTAAAGACTTTTGAAAAACAATTCCTTATAAAAAATTCAATAGCATAGATTTGATTGAACTGAAAATGAAAATATTTTCAAACAAAATAAAACATATCACTATTATTAATTTTCTTCAGATTCAATAGGAAAATTGCTTCTAGGTAATATAGTAAATACTGTACTTGCTTAGATAAATGATTTAAATCCTTTGAAACAAATATGTGTGCAATGATAAAATTGTCCCAAACTAATTGTTTAACATGTGCTCTGTTTTAATAGAAAATGATAGAAAAAGTAATGAAAGCTTAAGTACATGCATACACAAAGTCACTTCAATCAAATACATACATAGCACACATAGAAATGCATCATGTTTGCAAATTTGTATGAAAATTATTTTTGAAAAGGAATCATATGCTGCCTTAGAACCATAAGCTAGAAATAGCAGAGTTGATATAAGAATAGTAGATATTGAACATGATTTTTTAAAAAAACACACACACACAAATCAGTGGTTATGGTTTGGAATTGGGCTCTGCTTTCAGCTTAGCTATTCTGACTTAAGAAACCAAATTCAGGTCTAATCATTTCTGCATGTTGAGAATTCAATCTTAGAAGGCCATGCCAACCCCCAAAACTTAATAGATGTATGTGAAGGAATGTTAGGAGTAAGTGGGCAACTAAACATTTTCTTATTACCTGTGGAGCTGACACTATATGAGTACTTGGGTAGCGTTAGGTAATTGAGACCAAAAACTATTTTGTCACTAGAGGGATACATTCCCTTGGAGGCACTTAGTGGGAGTGGTAGGACCACCTTTTGTTGATGCACCGTTTTGTCTTCTGATACTTTCTACCTCTCCCAAGCAAAAAGCACAGCTCTCAACAGACCTCTTGCATGTTATCAGATAGAGGACTGCTACTTCATTCTGATGAAGGGCCCTAGCCATATGACCATTGTGGGGTTCTGTTTTGAATTGTGTTTTGAATGTCCACTCCTAGATTGAAGTAAGTAACTCAGATAATCAGCGTAAACCCTCTCAGGTCATTATTGAGCTAAACTAGTGGCTTGTAATGTCTATGGAGATTCTCAGCCACCCAGGTCATAATTATCCCAAAGGAAAAAGCACTTTTGGGATAGTGGCTTGTAACTGGTTGCCTATGGGCTGCATCCAGTTCTTGTCCTTTTTTTAATGTTGTCAACCTTTGTCTCCAGTTTCTCCTTTGTCCACATAGTAAGAGCTATTGGCTCCAGAGATGTTCAATGCTCCTATTTCATTGGGAGTTTCTCTGCGCCAGACTTTTTATGCAGAAACCACAGAGAATGTGCAGCAGAATTTTTTTTTATTATTTGTCCTGTCCTCTGTGGTTTGTTCCTCATAACAAGTTTTTTGGGAAAGAACTTGCTGAATGAAGCAGCTAAAGTGGGGAAAATGAACAAATAGCAAAACTTCAGATAGCCCAACGAAAGAGATAAATGGGGATTCTCTCTCTCTCTCTCAAGTTGGCAGACATAATCACACAATCCAAGCCTGCTCCCTTTTGTGTATCATGAATGCATCACACATTAAAAAGGAGCAAGGCTGATTTTGTGGTTTTAATCACCCCCTTGACTTTGTGGATCCATCCCTATGGATGCCACTGTTTCTCCAAAGGTAATTGTGCTGAGTTTTTTTTGTTGTTGTTACGATAGTGAAATATTTGTGAAAAACTGGGTCTTCTGATAAGATATACTCAGATTTAATCTTTATCTGTAATCTCTATCTTCAAGACAAAATAGATGGGAAAGGATTTAGTAATTTCTTTATACACCTTTAATATGTTCTTCTGAAGCTAACTTATTGTTAAATGAAGAAACTAACAGCAGGAATCTTGCACATGCCTCCAAAGGTTTGGCAGTTCCAAACAGAAACTGAGCCAAATGCAAATCTCAATCAACATTGTTTTCAAAACGGTGATTCATCATCATTCTAGCCATTGTCTATCCACTGCAGGATGAAGGCGTCTTCTGCGTCCTGAGCTTTACTTTGCCAGTTGGGACCGCACTACTTGCTGATGCCGTTGCTCCATCTTGTTTTAGGTCTCTTTCATGGACGCTTCTTATCAAGTGGGATCCATTCTTTGACTGCATTGGTCCAGCTGCCATCAGTTTTTCTTGCTGTGTGACCAGCCCAGTTCCATTTCGATTCTTTTACTCTCTTGATGGAATTGTATGTTTTCTCTAAATGGGGATTTTTAATACATTTTTGTATCCATTTCAAGGGATAAACTCAAATGAAAATAATGAAAATAGTCAATGAGGGAAGCCAGACTAGCTTAATGACCACGCGATTCACTTAGCAACTGCAATGATTTGCTTAACAACCATGGCAAAAAGGTCATAAAATGAGGCATAACTCACTTAACAATTGCCTTGTTAGCAATGGAAATTCTGGGCTCAATTGTGGTAGTAAGTCGAGGACTACCTGGACAGCTTTTTAGTAACTGATCCAGGAAGATGTTTTTTTAAATAAAAAATGGCCCGAGAGATATATAAACGTCACTGAAACATCGCTTTCATCCTGTGTAAGGCATCTTGTATTTTTCGAGATTGCTTTTCAGGTTTCTGATGAAAGTTGGCATAATTATCAGCTGCTAATGCAAAGATGTCTGCATCATTAAGAAAAGCTATTCTTTGTCTTAAGAAATCTTGTAATTGGCAATCTGGTGGGAACATGTAGGGGTTTTCTTGAAATGCTTGAACTTGGCTCACAACCTTCGCAATATTTCTTAAAAGAAAAAAGATGAAAGAAATAAGTAGGGTTCTTTTTCTATATTCGATAAAGTAGGGAAATAAACACTGTGTTAGGTGCTTAATATTCAATTTTTTAAAAAACAAATTTATATAAAACATTCTACCATAAATAATCAAAACGTTCAATTTATCTTGCCTTTAATTATTTCATAAATTAATATACTGAATAGGTTCTTTTAACATTATTGTTAAGTTATATTAACCTGCAAGACAATATTCCATTTTAATAAATTTCATGCCATAAAAACATTACCTAAGTTTGGTCCACTTATATGTGCCATTTCGCATCGTAAATCCTCCAGTTTCAAGTTGCTGTATGTGCATAGTTAGAATATGAGCTGATGGAATTGTTGGAGATGTTTTAAATCTCTCCCCTTCCATTAAGCACAAGCTGTCACTTTTTAAAAATACCTGATATAATTAACACAGATATGCAGTCAGACATATAGAACACGGCACAACCATTGATGGCAAAGTCTTTGCTATGCTGTCACATAGCACATAGTGAACCTATGATTCACATTCGTCATCTTCAGGCTGGTGTCTTCAGCTTCGTGCTTCTGGGAGCACCCATGGGATCACCCCTCTCACCTGTCATTGCAAACCTCTACATGGAACACTTTGAAACCCAAGCTCTAGAAAAATCTGATCACAAACCCAAACTCTGGCTCAGGTACGTAGACAACACCTTCATAATCTGGCCACATGGGAAAGAAAAACTGGACAACTTCCTCACACACCTCAACAGCCTACACCCCAAAANCACCGCCTGCCCCACCACATACATCGGACAAACCAACAGAAGAATAAATGCACGCATTGAAGAACACAAGAACTCAGTCAAAAAAGAGGAACCAACTTCTTCCCTGGTCCAACACCTTAAAGCCACAGGACATAAAATTGACTTTAAAAAGACCAGAACTATTGCCAAAACTGAACACTTTAACAACAGAATAATCAGAAAAGCCATCGAGATAGAAAAACGCCCACACAGCATGAATAAACGAGATGATACCTCCCGCCTACCAGCCATTTGGAAACCCGCCCTTATTGCCAAATGAGTCCCTAACACAAAGAATGACACCAGACCCACACTCACGAAAACTACACAGGATGTCACCACCACACATCCACGCAAAAAGCAAACCCAAACCCACACAGATGATGAGGCATGACCACAAACTAGAAGCCAGTCCACAGCTGCATCATTAGCCACTTTAAACCCCTCCAATCCATACATGAAGCAAACTGACACCCACCATAAAGATGTGGCACAAACACGAACACGAAGCCAAACAACAGCAACGAAGCTCACCATCTCAAATCCCCCTGCAACTCAGACTAACCTGAGCACAACAAAGCCCCCACCCAAACAGAACACTCCCCCAGCCAATCAGAGCACAGCCAACCCCCGATCCAATCAGAGCACAGCCAAGCTCCTTAACCAATCAGAACACACCTCCACCCAATCAGAACACAGCCAAGCTCCCACCCAATCAGATCAAACCCCACTGGCAGTTAAAAGGAAGAAACAGCTGCGATCACACACTACTCCTAGAAGCACGAAGCTGAAGACACCAGGAGAGTTTACACATCTGAATTTTAATCCAGGAAGAAAAGCTAAATTTCTTCTCCTGAAATGGTCACGGGAATTGCTCCATTGTGTCATGTACTCCAAAACACGGGGTGCTGCAACCTCCAAAACATTTTCAAAAGCTGCTGATGTAGTGTAAATTTAACATTACAGAAGGGGGAAACTTAAATATATAGTGACTATCATATTTATTGCTTTAGTTTCTTTATTTACATTCACATTATGGTACATCCATTTTAACTTTGCCCTATTCTGACCACTTTTTGGAGCGTAGTTCCAACGTGCCTTTTAGAGCCCCCCCCCCCAGCCTCCAGATATTGTGTTGCTAGGAGAAAACATCTAGCTATTGATTCTATTTATCTGCTAGTCATCTGCACTTCTCTTTCAGATGCTTCTGCCTGTTAAAGTAGTATAGAAAACATTTTTATAGCTTTATTCTTTTGATGCACTCTGATGTTAAACCTTCCTTTTCCCTCACCTCCCTATGCAGGTGTCTTCAAACTTGGCCCTTTTATGACTTGTGGACTTCAACTGCCAGAATTCCTCAGCCAGCGTGCTTGGCTGAGGAATTCTGGGAGTTGAAGTCCACAAGTCATAAAAGGGCCAAGTTTGACGACCCCTGTCCCTATGCTTTGGAAAGCTCATTATAAGGAAGAAGAGAAAAACTCTTTTCTTTTTAGCTTTCCAGTTCCACTTTAATACTATCAATAGCATCCTTGTGTGTTCTCTTAGGAACATCACATTTCTACTCATCTAACTTTGGAAAAGCCATTTTTTTCTCCGTTTAACTTTTCTTTATCTATAAGAAATCAATTTCTGAGAAATTATAACTTGTCTGCTTTATGAGATAACAAATTACCTAAAATAGAATTCTTTCTCAACAAGATTGTTTTGGGGGCATGTGCTTGTTTCTGAATTAGTAGCTTACCCCAAAGCACTGTGTCCAATTATAAATTAGAACCAGGGCCACAATAAGAGCTCTTTCCTTATAACTAGGGATGAGGAAAAATGTTTGGTATGCATTATTAAATAATTTAATTTGCATTTCTATACTACTCAGGGCCTGTTTTGCAACTTTTGGTTTTTTTGCACATGTCAGAATATTATGTTTTGCAATAAAAATATACGCTTTAGAGATCTACAAAAACCTAACAGGTGAGGGAAAACTGTTTGTAAAATACAATAAAATAATGCATTTCAGAATCTGTACAAATTTTGGATTATTAAAACAGCGCATGTGAGCTTTATACCAATTTTAAAAGATCTAAGAATCGATGTGANCTTTAAACCCCTCCAATCCATACATGAAGCAAACTGACACCCACCATAAAGATGTGGCACGACCACGAACACGAAGCCAAACAACAGCAACGAAGCTCACCATCTCAAATCCCCCTGCAACTCAAACTAACCTGAGCACAACAAAGCCCCCACCCAAACAGAACACTCCCCCATCCAATCAGAGCACAGCCAGCCCCCCCATCCAATCAGAGCACAGCCAAGCTCCTTAACCAATCAGAACACACCTCCACCCAATCAGAACACAGCCAAGCTCCCACCCAATCAGCTCAAACCCCACTGGCAGTTAAAAGGAAGAAACAGCTGCGATCACACACACTACTCCCAGAAGCACGAAACTGAAGACACCAGCCTGAAGATGACGAATGTGACTTCGTCGAAACGTCGCCAAGACACTTCTAATTCTACGCAGGAGAAAACCCGAATAACTAAAGACCTACATACAAACACCCGCGAAAACCTCAGAAAACATAAGGTTCACTATCACTGGCCTACAGTTTCCATGCATGTTCAGATGCCCCAGTATACTATCTGCTTACCCAGTTGGTACCTATTCCTGTACCATAGATCGGGGTGGGGTGAGGCCACAGGCAAGTCATTCACAGTTGTGGCCCACAAACTGAGAATATGCTTGTAATGCTTCAGCCTCTAAAGGGCGCCAGTGTTAAGCAAAGATTACAACAGTTTGTTTAGTGACCGTTTGAAGTTACAACAGCATTGAAAAAAGTGACTTATGGCCATTTTTCACATTTACGACCATTGCCGCATCCTCATGTTAAGGCAATTCAAATTCAAATGCTTGGCAACTGACTCATATTTATGACGTTGCAATGTCCCCAGGGTCATGTGATCAACTTTTGTGACCTGGGAAGCAAAGTCCACGGAGAAGCCAGATTCACTTAACAACCGTGTTACTAATTTAACAATTGCAGTGATTCACTTAAGAATTATGGCAAGAAAGTTCATAAAATGAAGCAAAATTCACTTAAATGTTTCATTTAGCAACAGAAATTTTTGAGCTCAATTGTGGTTGTAAGTTGAGGACTACTTGTATAGCATGTTGGCCATTTGATCATCTCCTACAGAGAAAACATATGAAACAACCCTGAAACCAGGCTTTTCAGCAACTAAACAAATATTTATAGAGGAACAGCCTCTATTTCGATTCATGATAAAGAGCTTATTTGTACTGTACCTCTACAGCCTTCAGTTCTTCCAGTATGTCAGAAACTTTACAAGGCAAGCTTTTCCAAATCTGAACAGAAATAAAAATAAATTTTAGTTTTCTGAATATTACAAGTGGAACGCATCCTTTGCGTGCTCCAAATATTATAAAAATATATTACCTGTGTAAACTACTAATAAATATGCACACTACTCACAGGCAATTGTCTGACAATGAGATTCTCCAGACCTCTGAGGATTTGCATCGCAGTGGCAAAATTTCTTTGCTTGTAGCAACACTTGGCAGTGAAGAGAAATTTTGATACCAAATTCATCTGTACCTGGAGAACAAATAGAATACATTTTCTAACAAAATTTATCACTATTCTCGGCCAATGTTATAACCCATGCTTGGAATGCCCAGCACTCAATGTCAAAAAACACATTTCCAGGAAAGACTTTTTTTGGGGGGGGTACACAGTCAGGGAGGACATTATCATTATATGAAGACAACTGGAAATAGCTAAATGCTTTCAACTCCAGTTAGCTAAATGTGATAAAATTCATTACCCATTGGCAACCAAAGCAAAATGCTCACTAAAAAGGGGAGATTTGGTGTCAGATTAAATAAATTACTGTAATTGTTTTGTTTGCTGAAACCACAGAGCACATCTTATATATTTTTTTCTGTGAAACTCCTCTTCATCAGATTTATTACGTAACTACAAAAACACTGGTTTCCAAGTAATTTCTGGTTACTAAGTAATAATTATGTGCATTTCTGAGAAGGAAGGGGGGGGAAGGCTTTATTTTGGTTAATGATCAGAATATAGCAAGATAAAATATAATAACATACAATAAAGCATCTAAGCAAATTAAATCTATAAACTCTAGAAAACTAAACTATAAAATCTATTGATACAAATAGAAAACAAAGAACAAGCATCCTGGTGCATTTAACCTATCACTGCAATAAAATACATATTACATTTTAATACATTTAATATATTAAAATACAAATTATATTATCTAATGATACAATATTTAATAGGCATACAATTTCAGAGTTCAGATAATATATTCCTTTTTAATATAACTTCATTGAATTTCAAAAACCTATAAAATACAGGACATTAAAAAAAAGTTAGCAAAAAAAGCAAGAAAAATAAAAAATAAAAGTGTAAACAATTAAGCAATTGTTCCCTTTTGGTATCTGCAAGGAATGTTGCTATATTTAGAGACATTCAAGAAACTATCTCAGACAATTGATACCAAAGATAAACGACACTTGATTGTCCTGTACCATTTGCGAATCATGCTATTAAATGGAGTGCCAGTTTGGTAATAGTTAAAGTACCAGGCTATAAACCAGCCCATCTTAGGCAGGAAGCCATCTGGGTGGCCTTGTGCCAGTCATTCAAGGAAAAACCACTTCTAAAAATGCCAAGAAAACTGCAGGGACTTGTCCAGGAGTCAACACTAACTTGAAGACACACATCCACACAGATGTGTTAAACAGCACATACAAATGGCTGGGGAATTCTGAGAGTTGAAGTCCACACATCTTAAAGTTGCCAATTTCAACAAACACTGTTCTATAAGGAATGTTCTTATACTTCCCTTTCCAAAGAGCAGTTGGTAAAAACATCAAATCACAACTCATTTACTTTTGTGCAATGCTATAGACAGAAAACCAAATCAACAATATCAGCTTTAGAGCCTGAGTGACAAAAATAGATTTGCTTAGTAAGGAAAATGACATCAAAATAGGACATGTCAAATAATGCATTGATTTGAAAATTTTCTCAATATATGGAATAGGAAGACAAGACCTGATGATACCACCATATTCCTCGTTTGCTGTTCAGTGAACCTATATCATATTCAGCGTTGATTAAATAATCTATCCAAAGTCATACTGTCAGGCAATCTGTGTTAGTAAAGGGGAACAACAAGGATTTATGTCTACTTGAATGGGCAAGTTAAACAGACCTTCAGCTATAGAGACAAAGTGCAAGCACTCGGTAGGTCTCTCAAATGCTGGACCTGCCAACTCACTAGCAGGCAGATGACTTTTAGGAGAAAGTTGCAATGAACAGGTCAACAGAGTTCCACTTGCCCATTCGAAAAGGATAGATCTTTGCCCTTCTCATAGTATAAAAACAAAGCCGAAACATTTAACCTCACCTCTATGGGCTGGAAGGGATTTCAGGATGTTATCACTATAGGGGTGAAGGTAAACATTTTTTTAATGTAATTCAGAGATAACAAAAGATTTCTCTGACAGCAAAAGAGCTGTGGTGGTACAGTGGTTAGAATGCAGTATTGCAGGCTAACTCTGCTGACTGCCAGCAGTTCGATCCTGGCTCAAGGTTGACTCAGCCTTCCATCCTTCCGAGGTCATTAAAATGAGGACCCAGATTGTTGGGGGCAATATATGCTAACTCTGTAAACTACTTAGAGAGGGCTGTAAAGCACTATGAAGCAGTATATAAGTTTAAGTGCTATTGCTAATGCTATTGTGTTTCCCCGAAAATAAGACCTATGCCAAAAATAAGACCTAGCTTGATTTTTACATGTACACCCAATACCCCCAAAATAAGCCCTAGTTTTGGGACAAGGCACCCACGTAAAAATCAAGTTAGGGTGTGGGGGTGGAGCTGCTCCACATGCCCTGCACCCACTTACTTTAGGACCGCTGCAGCCAGGCCTCCCACGCCCTGACAACTGTCGTGCCACTGCCTGAGTTCTGCAGCCACTTGTGGCCACTCACAGCAGGACGCCACGAGGCTTGTTGCACCAATCGCACTGCTGCCGCTGCTTGTGACTGGAGGCCATGAGACTCGTGCCGCTTGCGCCACTTGCAGCACAAAGCCACAAGGCTTGTCATGCTGACCGCAAGCAGGTGCGGTGAGCCTCACGGCCTCAAGCTGTGAGTAGCGGCAGTGCAATTGGTGCAACGAGCCTCGCGACTTCCTGCTGCAAGTGGCAGTGAGCAGTGATGCGATCGGCGTGACAAGTCTTGCAATGTCCTTCTGTGCCGGCGGCAGTGATGTGATGCACCATGTGGTGTGCAGCTGCAAGTGGCCACAGAAGAACAGCAGTGCAACAGGTCTCGAAGCATGGGAGGCCTGGCTGCGGTGGTCCTAAGGTAAGCGGTTAAGACATCCCCCGAAAATAAGATCTAATGCCTCTTTTGGGGACAAAAAAATATATAAGACCGGGTCTTATTTTCAGGGAAACACAGCATTATGATCCTACTTTCTTCAGAGAAGAAATATGCATTAACCATATAAGTAAATCACAATAAAGAATCATGTGCATAGGCACACACACACACACATTCCTGAAATAGGAATTCATACCTTAGAGCTGCAGCTGCTGACAATTTCAGCAGCAACCCAGGTACTGACGTTATCTGCATATTTTAAAAGCTGCAGGAGGTAATCATCTTGGACACAGTTTTTCACAAAAAGGTTATAGGCTGGAGAAGAGAGCAATTCAGAGGAAGAAGCCCTGTAAAAGAAAAACAATTTACAACACTTACAGCCTAAGTCTAACTATGCACAAGCTAACACAACTCATTGCAAGGAAAGCAATGAATTGGAATCTATTTATTTCCAACCTGAAGGGATATAAGATCAAAGCTCAAAGACACGAGTAACCTAAATTTTCAGCAAAAACATTATTCTCAGAATGTATCATAACTGGCAAGTACAAGGTTAAGCACAAAGTAAATGTCTTGGATAACTTATCCTCAAGTTATCCGGTCTTTGATGTGCCTTTCTTAATAGCCCAGATGATGCCAGGAATAAAACTAGACTTCTGAAATTGTTCCTATCTCACACTGTCTTATGTAGATATAGGTTTTTATCATGAACCGCAACTTCAGAGATGTTGCAGTGAACTTGCAGGGACACCGAAGGATCTCTTAGTACAATATTTAATATATAGAACAGTTAGTGAGCTTGTTGAGGAGCCCCAGGGCAGCATGGTCCGGTTTGGGAATAGCTAGGTGCTTCCTTAACTGAGAAAGTTTGAGAACAACTGCCTTAGAGCTAAACATGTTCGGATGGTTCTGATTAAATGCACTGTCTTCTATTCTGCCATTTTAATCCACCTAAGAAAGAAAAAGCATCAAAGGGTTTCTGCAGAGTCACCACATATCAATAGAACGGCTCTAGCCTGTAATTAAAGCTAAGCAGAAGCTAAATACTCTGGCATGTCAGCAGTTTTCCACTTTCATCAGTAGGGCTGGCTAAATAGCAAACTTACTTTGGGAGAAGCACAGTTTTATCGTTGACCCCGAGCAGTCTTGAATTTAGAAAATGCACTGGATGACATTTATGGAATATTTCCTAAACAGATGAAAGAAAATCACTATGTATTTATATATTCTATTTTGCATGGCTCCATTATTGTTTTTTCTAATCCAAACTCACATAGTCTCTTAGGAAATGACCTCCCCCCAAAATACCAATTATACCAGTAAAACAAGGAGCATCAGTGGTATTTCTTTACATTCCATCCATCTCTCTCTCATTAAGAGCCTTTTTACAAGACAATCGCAGCAATTTTAGTCCAAAAGAACTAATCCTGATCCCAGCTGAAATACATTCTTAGCAGCTTCATTCCATAAATAATGTGAGTCACTGATAGAAGTGAGCATCTGGTCAATTTTCTTTCAGCTTGGTCCTTTTATGACTTGTGGACTTCAACTCCCAGAATTCCTCAGCCAGGCATGCTGACTGAGGAATTCTGGGAGTTGAAGTCCACAAGTCATAAAAGGGCCCTGTTCTAGCTAGATTGGAAAGTAACAAACCAACAAACCCTCAAAAAGGAATGGTAAACAACCCCTTTCTGGTTGCCAAAGAAAACATAGTGAATCTGTTCATTTAATCTATAAAAGTCAAATGGAGATTGAATTGCTGTTTGTATTTTTCAAGTCCAATATAGGTTTCTTACAGATGTACTATTCCTCTTTTAAGGGATTAGGGAACATTGTTACTCATAAGGTATTGTAATAATACTTTATGAGGTCCAGGTAGGACTGAAAAGTTGCTTGCTATATAGAAAGGAAATGTGGTCACTGAGTGTATTTATGCATCAAAGTTGCTAGGGGGAATTGCAGTGTATAGCAATGGGTGTGGCCAGAGACCTGAAAGTACGTTATCTTATAACTTGAAATTCAGGGATTTTACTCTAGCAATATATTTATTGTACATATTTATTGTAGAATATGCTACACCAAACAATTTCTTTCCCAAACAAATAGAACTTTTCCTAAAGTTCAACAAACCTGAACTTTTTATGCCACCCAAAGTTCACTTTCCATGAGATGGATGGGCATATAAATTTAATTAATAAATAAGTTGATTTGGGGAAGAAATTTGTGCTGAAATGGCTAAGGCTATAATTTCAATTTCATTGAAGTTTTTTTTAATAAGCAGAAATCTTTTTTTTTAATCATCATTTAGTTCTGCAATGCCATCATCCCCAAGATGTCTCTCATACTGATATCCAGACTGAAAAATGTCCCCTTCCATGCAGGATAACATTAAAATAGCACAAAGGTTAAGGTGGTCCTAAGGTGTGCACAGGGTCTAAATCAGGGGTAGTCAACCTTGGCTCTTTTATGACTCATGGACCTCAACTCCCAGAATTCCTGAGCCAGCACAGCTGGCTCAGGAATTCTGGGAGTTGAAGTCACGAGTCATAAAAGAGCCAAAGTTGACTACCCCTGGTCTAAATATTCCCTCTTTGGACAGAAGTTTCTCAATTTGTTCTAGTCTGACTCCTAGCTAATGGTCACTGTCATCTCATGCTCCATCATGGTCATTCAAAGAAGAAAAAGAAACTTTTTAATACTATGATGTTTAGAATTCTTCCTAGTAATCAGATCAATGTTCCTACAGAGGTTTTCTTTGCAATAACTGAAAAAAGCCCCCCCCCCCTTTTTAACTATCATACTATCTAGAGTCTGTCTTCTGCTATATTCTTATTTTAATTCTATAGTGTAAAGAGCCAGAAAAGAAAGGAGAGAAAGCAGTGATAGAGCTAAACTTTGTAGGTATTGTCTGATGGGACAGGTCGACACCATTACCTCACACAACAAATTTTATTCAGAACAGGCAAGTTGTTGTTAAAGCCATTAGAAAGTTTTCAAGTACAAGAACGGGGCTTTCAAATATTTAACAAACTTATATGCTCCTAATCGTAATTGACTCACTACATTACCACCAGATCAAAATAAACAATGAATAAAATGCCACACTAATTAATTTCCCATTATTAATCATAATAAAGTTAATAATCAACATTATTATAATTATTAATTTAATATTATTACATTAACAAATGAAATCCAGTTCTGGATGGTGCTTAGTCAGTCCCCAAATTGACTTAGATTATTCTAATTGACAGCAGTATTACTACTATTGCAAAGATAAAAAAAAAATACCGCCTAGGAACTCCTAGATCAATATTTCTCAACATTGGCAGTATTAAGGCTGGCAGACTTCAACTGCCAGAATTCCCAGCCTGGGGAATTCTGGGAGTTGAAGTCCTCCTGCCTTAATATTGCCAATGTTGAGAAACAGTTCTAGATCCTTGAGTTTCACATTGCTTGTTGTGATGGAGAGATTTTTTATATCTATTTCCTGATGCAAGATTCCTCATTCAGAGGCAAAGCACTACAGCAGGGGTAAGCAGAATAGTGCACACTGGCATCAACATGATCTGAAACATCTGCCTTGGTGCCTCCCAGGCTCCCTGCTCTAACTTAATTTTTTTTTTAAAAAAAAATGAATTAAATAGGTTGGCATTTTATAAAGAGAAAGTATCAGCATTTAGCATCCTTTTAGAGCAATTTGTCTGGACCCCACAAAGGGCTATTTTGGCTTCCACTAAATGCTTCTTGATACCAACATGATTATTTTGGGGGCACTTTTGAATTTTATCCAAGATACTTACTCTTTTTACTGACTGAAAGCTAGAAATTCAAAATACATACTTCTAAATAACTTCTTTCAATTGGAATGAAAACTGGTATGATTTGTCCGGTAACAATGCTCTAGCTTGCCTACAAATTTCATCCCATTCTGGAGGAAAATAATAGAATTTACAGTAATTTATATGTGATGAAGAGATTTCTCTCTTGGGGTCAGTGAGTCAAATCTGACAACCTCTATGGCAAGCCAGCAAAGATTAAGCTATTGACATGGTTTTAGTTTGGTCTTTCAAAATGGATTCAGTGCTTTCTCCACATTCTGAATATATTGTTATATATAAAACTGGAGTGTTTACCTGTTCTAATAATGTCAGCTGGCAATAAAGTTGTTGTGCAGTGTATTCAGTTAAGAAATATGGAGCCTCAGCTATGCTGAGGCAGAAGCCAGATAATTCTTCTGTTGCGGGTCTATAACACAACTGGGATTCAGTGCCTTTTGAGAGTCTCCGGCTAAGACGCTATTTGAGAAGGACAAGAACCATTAGCTACATATTTCACAAGCAAAATTGAAATCAGTCTTACATAATTTAATATTGTATTAAATATTACATACAACTATATACAATTATATACAACTATACAGGTAAAAGTCTTAGATTTTCCTCACATAATAATTCTTCATAATTTTCTTAATTTCAACACTAATTTATTCAACAGCAGAAGAGATTCTACAAATATGACCAAACAGGAACCCCTTTGAGAAATTTATTTTTTCTAGATTTTATGTATTTGTTTGTTTGTTTGTTTGTTTGTTTGTTTATTTATTTATTTCTCTCCCGTCTTTATTATTTTTACAAATAACTCAAGGCAGCAGTGAACATATTGAGCACACCTTCTTCCTCCTATTTTCCCCACAACAAGAACCCTGGGAGGTGGGTTGGGCTGAAAGAAAGTGACTAGCCCAGGGGTTGGCAACCTAAAATGGTGAAAGAGCCACTTGGACCCGTTTCCCTCACAAAAAAAAAAACCCTGGGAGCCGCAAAATGTGCGCATGCGCGCGCGCATGCACACACACGCGCACACACGTAACGGGACTTGATTGAAGAGTGGAGCCTAAGGCGACACATCCAGCTCTGGTATGGACGGCTCCGCCGTCCTGGCTTCACCTCCCCTCGGAAAAGACTGCTCTCCCCCCTTTGCTGAAGCGGCGAGCAGAGGGGGGCTTGCCTTGGGCACGGCAGGGCTGCTGGAGGCTGAGGCCCCCAAAGGTGCGGACCAGGCTATCTTCCATAGCAGTGGGAAGGCGACCGCGGGAGCAACCGCCTGCTCATCTCCCCCGGCGGTGGCGGCAACCGCGGAGCCATCTGGTGGTGTTTATACGGCCCTCCACGTGACTGAGATAGGCAGCGCTGCCCCACTCCGCCCAGCCCTCATTTCCCCAGAGCAGAATTGGGGCCGCACCAAAGGAGCCGGCTGAAAGTGGTGCCTTGAACTACCCCTCCGAGGACGGCGCTTTGGAGGAAGGCCGGAGCGCGGCACCCTTGCCAGAGAACTAGTCAGCCCCACTAACTAACATGTGAACACCACGCTAAGAACGGCCCTGCCTTAACTAAGTTCAATCGGACAGGAAAGTTCCAATCCGATGGAGGCTCCTGCAAAGTCAGCTCGGTCATTGGGATCACGCAGTTCAGTGGGCTTCATGCTCCCCCCCCAAGCTATTAATTCAGAACCAGGCAGCACTTGGCTTGCAATCGGTTGCACAAAACAGGTGGATAGGATTGCAGCCAACGATAGTAGGACGTTAGAGCCGCCAACTCTAGTCTCCACCCAGGCGGGCAGGCGAGCAAAACCCCGGCTTCTGGCTGCGTGGCTGCCTCCCTCTGGAGCTGTCTTTCCCTCCCCCGGGCCATGCGCCACCGGCATCTTCTCTTTGCAAAGGAACACAAAAGCTTTCGGGGTTTCGCTCACCTGCCCGCCCGGGTGGAGACCAGAGTTGGCGGCTCTAACGTCCTACTATCGTTGGCTGCAATCCTATCCACCTGTTTTCTCCAACCGATTGCAAGACGCTGGGCAGCACGAACTAAGCGGCGGCAGGAGGGATGCGGGGCCTTGGCTTTTTGCTTATCAAGACCATGCTCAGTTCGTGCTGCCTAGCGTGTTGTTCCGCTGCCGCTCAGGCCCCTTTTTTGCCGCTGGAAACATGCCGCATTAGCTGGCACCGCAGGGGGGTGGTCCCATGGCAACGCAGACAGTCCGGGCCGTGCGCCACCGGTGTCTCCGGTCCCGAGCCACAGGAAATATCCGGGCCCAAGTTGTCCGCTGCAAGGACACCCCGCCCACGGCAGCACCGCCAAACCACTTTCTATGCTGCTGGCGTCCCCGGGCTGGAGCCGTGAAAGCCAATCCAGCTGGTCGTCGGGGTGTGGAACTGGGCCGCGGAGGCCAAGCCTTGCTCACCGGCAACACTGGAGCTTCCCACGCTGACCGGTAGGTCTTCCATGCCGCTCCGCTCGGACCGCCGGCTTCTTGCTATAGGGCTGTCTCCCTCCAGAGCTGTCTTCCCCCCCCCTCTCGTCTATGTTGAGCCCATGGCGAACAGCGTCCTACAAACCAAAGAAGTTGAACCAATCAATTCAAACTTCTTTCGTGAGAAGTTTGAATTGATTGGTTCAACTTTTTGAGTCCTATTTTTTGGGGGGGGGCACTGCACGTGGCTGGGAGCCGCAGGAGACGGCTGAAAGAGCCGCATGCGGCTCCGGAGCCACGGGTTGCCGACCCGTGGACTAGCCCAAAGTCACCCAGCTGGCGTTCAGGGTGACAAGAGGACTTGAACTCACAGTCTCCTGTTTTCTAGCCTGGCGCCTTAACCACTAGATTTATGAAAATAAATCATACATCTCAATTATTTCATGCAATTAACTGCTCTTTGGTTTTGTCTATAGCTAAGAAGGGAGATTAGAAGATGCGACCTGTGGAGGGCTCCTTTTCATAGCATCTGATAGTTCTATCCACTCAAAATCAAGATTCACCTCTTAATTTAGACATAAACCTTCCATGATAACTTAGCTAAGGCACTCTTTCAAACAGCAGTCCTAAATAAGGCTACTAAGCATAGTAAGAAAGAATAAAATTGGATATTATCATATATGACTATAAAGCAAAATTAGGGAAATTACCTTTTGTAAAACATTTCCTGTATCTCTTTTGCATGAAAAACGTAACGATCGTGTTTCACGCATCTCCATCTCTTGTTCCCATACTTCCATCTTGCAGAACTGAGAAACATTTCTCTCTTTTTTACTGGCAACGTTATTAAGTAATGACAGCAATTGTCTGCCACAACCGTTGAATGGAACTACCTGCAAAAAGTCCACGGTTACATTATTTTGCTTCAACCTGTGTCTTAACCTATCTGAAATAAATTTTATTTCCATTCCCCCACATTCTCAACCAATTACAGTATATTTAGAATAAAGCACTGGAATATTATATGCTGTAATTTAGAGGTGATTTAGAAGACATTTATATCAAGTTTTCTGTCAAAGCAGTTAATTACCTGAGAAATGATAAAGTCTTTTAATATTCGCATGAAATTAGGGTTTATGCTAAAGTCTACGGTGTAACAGTCTTCGATCCAAGCTTGAAGAATGGAGAAACTACGGTGGTATATTTTGCTGAACAATGAACAAGATTCTGGGCTGGAGCTAAGAAAATTAAAAAAATTTAATGAACAGGTGTTTTCACCCTGGCATAAGCATTCAAAAAGATTGTCTTTCAGCTTATTACATCACACATAATAAAAATGTAATTTTTAAAATCAAGAAGAAAAACTTGAAATCCAATTATAGATTTTAGCCTAAAGAAGAATGTGCAATCAGTGAAAGAATTGACCAAACTTAAACTGATGCCCTTGGCAATTTCTTCAGATCCTCTATCTCGGGTCTAAAAATGCACCACCAGTAACTGTTTTGGCCATTTTAGGCATGGACTGGAATAGAGATCACTTTCCGAACTGCTTGTTAAGTCTTACGCAGCTCTTTTTAAACATGGTTTTAGTGTTGCTTTAAAAGAACTCTACAGTTTAAAATGTTCTACTAGTGCTGATCCCATAGTATATCAATTTCAACCATTAAAGAGAGCTAGGTTGTATTGGTTTGTGCTGGTAGCTCTGATATCACTGGGGGAGTTGCTTTTGTCAGTGAGGAGAGGTTTCGTGGGGCTCCTATTTTCACTGTTTTTATTACCTGAAATAGGGAAAGTGACTCTATTTTGCTTGCTTCATTCTGGCTCCATATGTTAGACGCATCATCAGTCATGAGTCCCTATGGGCCCACAAGAGATCAAAGTCCAGCCCACCTTGAATTCCTTTCTTAAGTCCCGTTAATTTCCCTTGACCGTTAGTGGTTCAGATTCTTATAGAGAGTTTAAGCTTGCAATAAATCCTTATATTCATTTGAACTGCCTGAATCTCCTGATTTCCCCGGCGCTTGACACCATGGCCACATATAGACTATTCCTAGGTAATGCTGGGCTTAGGGCCATTCCTTAGCAGCATTAATCAAGGACGGAGCTCATTCCTTACTCATCACTCCCTACTTCCCTCTGCTACCCTCTTCTTCTGATCTCTCAGCTGGGTTTTATGCTCATTTGGAAGAGTGCTAAACTTATGTTTAAATATTGAAAATGTTACCTGGGGAAACCCCAACCCCAATCCTAACCCAAACCCCAATCCTAATCCCGACCCCATTTTATCCCTAACCTTATTAAAACTAATAAAATTTATATTAAAAAATTGGGTATGGCACTATTCCAAAGACAGTTAAACCTATTTAATTCAACTAATCGGTCACAGGTAGCTAAATACAGGTAGTGTTGTGGCTCCGTCTTGTGAGCCCCTCTTATCGGAGGAAGAAGGCTCCGAACATGAAGGAGAGGAGATGGCTAGGCCTCCCTCTCCAGGACCCTCCTCTTTGGCAATGCCTCAGGTGTCTTCCGACGGAGAAGAGATTGACCAGGAGCCAGGTGGTTCAGAGATTGGCCAGGAGCCCGGTGTTTCTCAGATTGGCCA